CCGTTCATTCAAAGACATTTGCTTTACCCTCAGCTTTTCAAAACATATGATAAAAATAAGGTGCGCGTACGTAATTGTTAACATTTTCAGGTGTGGAAATTGAAATCCGTCTGTCTAAACTAACATTTGATTGCAACTTATACCCTCCCTAGTTCCAAAGAATATTTGAAGCAGAAATAAACATACTAACCCTCACACTTACCACATTTGCTGAGGTGGCCAATGGCTTTTTCATACCGTTTCAAATATTTGTCTATAGTGAACCGCTGATAATTCGTTTCCATTTTCTTAAGTGTATTTAGAAATGGAAGGTATTCTTTGGGATCCTAAAAGTTAAAAAAAGAATTTTTTTAAAGGACAATTTTATTGCTCGTGATTATATTACTTATAAAAATAAACATATAATAATTATAGCAATGAAACGAAAGCTACATCGTTTTTAAAATATGTAGTGTATTCATATATTAATTATATATAAAACCAAACTTCATAAAACCACTTTTGGTAAAAATGCCTTAACATATGGGCATATTGTCCAGGTTCCCAATTTGCACTGGTAAAAGAAGCTACATGATAGAACTGGACTGGAATATGAATCATTTGTTATATTTCCTTTATAAGAGAAGAATTTGTTCACACTTAATGCCTATAAGCTTAAAAATAACCCAGTAATTTTTTTCAATTGCTCAACCTAGCAATCAAAACACTTTGGTAAGCCCAGAACAGCGACAGAGAATGAGCTTGGAATTATGGGCCCTGGAGACTCACAGTTCTGCCTCGAGGCCTGTCCTCACAGCCTTAACATCAGACCAAACACTGCAGTTTCAGGAGCACTGTTTCATACTACCATGTTCGCATAAACAAAAATGAGAAGTATGTCTAAGCAGTAACTCCACATACCTTCTGTGACTTCTCAGCTACCATGAGGACCAAATCAAAGTTATAGGTCCCAAGAGAATGATCATATAATTCATTAACATCTACAAGAAGCAGCAAATACTTCAGGGCCTCTTCAGCACTCACAGCATCAGGAACAGGTGCAGCACTTCCTATCATTATGTAAGAAAACAGAACAAAACCATTTGGGGAAAAAACCCACACACCTAGCAACATAACCAAAAAGACAAAGTAATACGTTTTCCTGGCAGAACTGGACACCAGATGAATATATTCTTTTGACTCCTTTTTTTTGGTGGTACACGGGCCTCTCACTGTTGTGGCCTCTCCCATTGCAGAGCACAGGCTCCAGACGCACAGGCTCAGCGGCCATGGCTCACGGGCCCAGCCACTCCACGGCATGTGGGATCTTCCCAGACCGGGGCACGAACCTGCATCCCCTGCATCAGCAGGCGGACTCTCAACCACTGCACCACCAGGGAAGCCCTGACTCTTGTACAAGCTTTATAGGGCAGCATTCAAAGAAATGGACCCAGGTTTTAAAATGGAGACGAAAAAGCCACACGCCAAATCAGTGATGTGACCCTGGTCCTGGTCAGTGTTATCTCCAGAAGACCGAAGACCCGATGTCAGTCAAGGCCCCGATACACACACTCTGTCAACATGTCTCTACCTTGAAGCTCGTGTACCTTCTGCAGCACAATTTCCAGTTCTGGGGTTGTTTTTTTCACGTGAGAGGTGAGTATTGATAGGCAGTACCTGAAGTAATAAGTGAAGTACACCAGAATAAGAAAGATGAGCAAGCTGAAGAGAAACAACTACACACTTCTGTTACTCAAAAGATGCCACCTAACGACAGCACACGTACTTGTGAGGATTTATGTTCTCCATGGCTGCTCTCATAGCATCGCAGATAAGGTCTACTTTTTTCCCATCAGGATCGCTGGACAGCTGGACAGTACTGGTAACTGGTGGAGGGTACATGGTTTTTGTAACATCTTCTTCCCTGCGAACAAGCGTGTATTACAAGGTCACTAACTGAACATATGTCCCAGCTATCAAACTACTAACATATGTTGGAGTGCCGATGAGATAATAAATAAAAAATGGCTTTTGGAAGACAGTTTAATTCTAAAAATATTCATATATGGTGAAAAATGGAAAAACTTGCTGAGAAAATGGAAACATGTCCACAGAAGACTTGTATGTTAATGTATACAGATGTTACATTCATTGAGCCCCAAACTGGGTACAGTCCAGGTGTCCACCCACAGGAGAATGAAGAAATAAACTGCAGTATGTTTACACTACGGCATACTACTCAGCAATAAAAAAGAATAAACTAGTGATACATGCAAAAACATGGATGAATCTCAAGATAGTATACTATATGATTCATTTATATAAAGTTCTTGAACAGGCAAAACTGATCTACAGTGAAAAACTCAAAAAAGCAGTTGCCAAGAGGGTGGGGACAAAGAACAAATGAGAAGGGATTTGGGGGAACTTTCTCAGATGAAGGAAATGTTCTCTATCTTGATAGGGGTCAACATTACATGGAAGTATACCTTTGTCAAAACTCAGTGAATGGTACACTTATAATCTGTGCATTTCATTATATATAAATTTGACATGCAGGGGGACCCCGTACACAAAGAATATGCTCTAGTTAATGTTATGCAAGGTGAAGTACTGACAGGTAAAGTGGACTGATGCCTATAATTACCTCGAAATTTGTCTAAAGTAAAGATGGAGGGTGGGGACTTCCCTGGTGGCACAGTGGTTAAGAGTCCGCCTGCTAATGCAGGGGACACAGGTTCGAGCCCTGGTCTGGGAAGATCCCACATGCCACGGAGCAACTAAGCCTGTGCGCCACAACTACTGAGCCTGCGCTCTCTAGCCCGTGAGCCACAACTACTGAGCCCACATGCCGCAACTACTGAAGCCTGTGTGCCTAGAGCCTGTGCTCTGCAACAAGAGAAGCCACCGCAATGAGAAGCCTGCGCACCACAACAAAGAGTAGCCCCCGCTCACCACAACTAGAGAAAGCCTGCACGCAGCAACGAAGACCCAATGCAGCCAAAAATAAATTAATTTTTTTTAAAAGTGCATTAGGAAAAAAAAATGAATGGTGGATGGACAGATGGGAAATAGTGATAAAGCAAATACAGGGAAATATGAACTGTAGAATCTAGGTGCTGGTACAGGATGCTCACTGGACAATTTTCTCAACTTTTCTACATGTTTAAAATTTTTCATTAAAAAGTTAGAAAAAAATAAAAAAAATAAAAAGTTAGAAAAAAGTCACTGCAGAGGAAGACACCATTTATTTCAATTAATAGTTTTTTATGTACACCTAAAATTAAAGTCAAATAATAATTCTAAATGACATCTTTTAAAGTCTTAGTTTTAAAAAGGGAAAAGACTGAAAATCCAGTACATGCGGCATCTAAGAGTTAGAGATTAAAAAAAATATATTGAAAAGTAATTTTTCTCCTCTATTTATCTGTCTGATTTCCTTAACCAGAAGAGAGAAAATTATGCATGCGATACTCATGAATTATTCAAAATACTTACTTCAATTCTGTGAAAAACAGATTAATATGATTTACAGAATCTATCTGTCTTATGAAGGTTTCCACATTTTCAAGAAACACCTACCCAAGAAAAAAATAAAAAAAGGACAAAACATTTTAGTTCAGATCATCTTAGTTCAAGTCTAAGGTAAGCTATGATAACTATCAGATTTAGAATGTTACCTTAGGGTTATGATCATGAATCAGATTGAGATTAATTCTCAGTTTTCTCATGCATTCAAATGCTTCTTTAAACATTAGTCTGTGAAGAGACAGATAATGAACAGAGAGGGCATTTCACAAAAAGTAAGCTCCCTGGACTCAGCATATTTTCATAATGATATAAACCAGTTAAAATTAAGACTATAGCCCAACTACTACTGGATTTCTACTCTGAAATCATAGAATGAAAAAAATCAGGTACCAGATTCATTTACCTTCCTAAAAGGTGTGATTTACTCATCATGGCTGGTTGAGGACTATATCCACACACACGCACACAAGAAAATCATTATGGAACTTAGAGCTACTTTCTTTTTTAACAAAATGTTAGTAAACATTTTCCAATATAAAGTTTCCCCCAAATTCAGAGATTCAGACAATGGATCATTTCCTTCACGACAGTGGCTCAGGCATTTTTGGGTCATAGGCCTTTTTATAAGTCTGCTGAAAGCCTTAGGCCTTCTGCCCAGACAAATACACACAGACACAGGATGGTGCAAAAATTCCCTGGGTTCACAGGCCATCTAAAGCCTATATCGTTCCCCTTAGGCTAGGAAGCCCTGTTTCGTACACTGAGCCTCATGATTCCTTTTGCTAGGAATGTTTATTACACCATACGATATAAGAATCAAAGTGTGAAAAAAAGAGAGCCTCTGAGAATCTGATTGAAGATATATGTAATGAAAGATTTGAAGACTTTTAAAAATCTTAATGGAATACTTGCTGTCTTCACACATAAGTCATAACAATAAGCTAACTAATCATGTACATGGTACTTACTTGTCCAACCACTTCCGAATTTGAGCTAAAACCAGGGCTCGATGATGAACAACTTCTAAGTTTCCCCTTGGCATCTTAAAATAAATAAATCAAATCGATAACTTTTTTAACTAAATAGAAAAAAATTAAATACCCAGGATATACAACTTTACCTAACTCTTCTTAGAGAACTAACACAACACTGTAAAATGAGCATAGCTTTGGCAAAATTTAGTTGTGCTCAAAACTTATTTTGACTTTTAAAAGAAGTTTCCCTCTTAGCCTTACTGGGCAGAGCCTGTATTAACACTCCTTTGTATAAAGCTAACAGAGAACATAGCAAGGAAAGGCTTATAATAAATTAACACAAATGATAAAACAGCTTAAAATATAATCCACAAGAATTCTGTTTGCTATTTACTGTCAAATGACTATCAGAAACATAGCCTGAAAAATCAGCTTACCTGTAATATAAGCTTTGTGTCCTGGGGCACAACAGTGACGATGCGTGAACCCCTCTCCACCTTCCGCAGAGATTCCCCATTAGACACATGGCTGCTGCTCAGACCTGCCTGTAATGCTAAAGACACCACAGGCTAAGCCTTAAGAATCACTGTCAGGACAAGCCACTCTCCACTAACTGCAGGTGAAACTGCACGTTATCCAAAGTAGAAGGAAGCAATTAACAACTAAGCCGCACTGCTCTCTTACTCAGCCTCAAGACCATTAGCCCCTCTGATAAACAATCTTATCCCAGAATTTTGTGCTCTCTCACAGAGCCCTCATGCACATGCCCATACACAACGTCTCAACTGATATGGAAAACACAGGGAGGACTGGGCACCTTCTCTCTGTCTTAGTGTACTGATAAAGCTACGATCGTATCAGTGAAAGATTCCCTGTTTCCAAGTTATCAATAGAAGCAAAGAAAATAAGTGGGCTTTTTTTTTTCATAAGAAAACTGTGTGCATGCACACACAAACACGCTGGGTGGGGGGACGTGGAACACAGAAAAAAGTGCGGCCAATTTCCTATGAGCCATGAGATGGAGTCCTTCAGATATACAATGGAGGGTTGCCACAGTGAGAAAAGGAAGATTACAAAGAAGATTGAGCATATTGCCAGTTTGGTGCCTACATGGTAATTCAAAGTAAAATATTAGTTATACTAAAAAATTTCCTGAAAATTGTTTGTTTACCTTAGGATGTGCTGCTTAAGGAAGGACCTCCTTCTCTTTGCTAACTGATGTGGAGTGATTCAACTGAGATATCATGTTGAGATTAGGGGCTAAGTAAATGAACTTGAAAAGTTTTCTCCAGTCTAGGACTCATGATAAAAAGCCAAAGTATGCAACAATCTTAAGCCATCAAGACTTCAAAGGACAAACGATATTAGAACAGGGACTATTTTCTATTTTATACACTGAAAACTTACTTTTCAATGATGCATCTCTCAGGCAAAAACACTGGCAAGTATGGGAATAAGTCGTCAACAATAAAAACTCATCATATACTGCAAATGATGTGATATTTGAAGCAACCTACAAAAGGTCAGGGAGGCAAAGGAGAGAGTTAGCTATATTACTTGGAGCCAAGGCTGAAAAAGATCCAATGTCAGAACAAGCCTTGATACCTCAGTGTCATTGATGAAAAAGCGACATCTATCAGTCAGACCAAGGACACATTCCTGCAAAGAAATAAAATATGAAATTACAAACAATTCTAACCGAACTAGTTAAACCAAACTTTTCTATTACATGGTTCCATTGCCCTATGATTTCACATCTAGGTCCTTGTAATGCGGACTGAAGATGCCTAAGATGTGGTTGGTCCAGTGCAAAGTGTGCTATGAGGCCATCCAGTGCATCAGCAAGCCCCGCCGTTTCTATCTCCTATGCATGTCTCAAACGTATCACCTTTTGGCCCCTCACTGCCTCCACTCACAGCCACTTTCACTCTCCTCCCTTTCAATCTACTCTCTACTGGGCAGCCAGAATAACCTTTCAAACCATGAAGCACATCACACTACTCCCTGATTAAAATCATCAATTTCCAATCTATGTTAAATGAGCAAAGCCACGCTCTTTCCCATGGCCTATCACTAAGGACTAGCCATTGCTTCCGTTAGGTTCCTTGAGTAAGCTGAGCTCTTCTAAGCTCACAGTATGGATAGTTCCTCCTCCCTGGAACACTCTCCCTTTCTTAGAGATAGAACTTTCTTTGTCTTCACATCTCAGCACATACACCACCACCTCCTAGAGGCTTTCCCAGACCACCAAAAGTTGGTCTCCCCATCCTCACAGCTACCATCCTCTAACTAGCCTCAAACACTTCTCTATTCTCTACCATTACACTCTGCTCATTTGCTTCATTCTCCTATCAGAAGGGACAGCCATACCCGTATTGATAGATTAAAAATTCCAGAAGGGCAGGAACTAGTCAGCTGTTTGGTTTTGTAACCACTGTATCTACCACCAGCCACAATTATAGGCATTCTAATATTTGATGAATGATAACCTACTGAATCCTAGTTTCAAGATTACATTTCTGTTGTCCCCAAAAGTTACTTATCAACTAACTTTGAATGTTTTGTACAAATGGGGATAAAAGTCTGCCAATTGCATTTTTCTATTTTTGAATTTATACTTCCAAGGAAAGGAATCAACTAACCACTACATGCAATCTCTTAATCCCATTTCAGAGATTTAGAGGCTCAGGCTCAGGAAACTTCTCATTGTTGAGAGTGAGTAACTTCTCATTGTTGCCTTGAGATTTAGTGGACACTCAGGTCCACCTCCAAAGTACACACTCTTTCTACTTAATGCTATCAGTTCCTGGGTCACTGCTCTACGTGGTAAGTTTTTCTGCCTGTGTTTACTTACCTCTCCTCCAACCATGGCCAGTTCGGTCTGTGTGCACGGATAAGGAAATCGAACAGGAAATCCACCAGGGTTCTTCCATGGTTCAACAGCCAGAGAGGGTGATTCTGCAGGATTGGCAGATGAGGTTTACCAAGAGCTGATCCGCTCTTTGTAAAAAAAAAAACTGTTACATTAATACTTGCTAAAATACTTAACATGCAATTTAAATCACTTTCCAAATGTGTTTTGGAAACTCAGTAAAGTACTCCAGTTCATTACAAGAGAAAATACAGGGAGAACACACCAGCTAATTCTACTCTATAGATTAGGGTTTTTCAGGGTAGTTAAAAGACCTAATAATCACGGCAACACTGATAAGATACAAGTATATGTACTCAAGAATTAAATACCTACGTAAGTCATAAACATGCTTTCCTAACTTTTTTTTTTTGCAGTACGCGGGCCTCTCACTGCTGTGGCCCCTCCCACCATGGAGCATAGGCTCAGCGGCCATGGCTCACGGGCCCAGACGCTCTGCGGCATGTGGGAACCTCCCGGACCAGGGCACGTACCCGTGTCCCCTACATCGGCAGGCGGACTCTCAACCACTGCGCCACCAGGGAAGCCCCCGCTTTCCTAACATTTTGATACTCACCCCAAAGGTACTTAAGTATCTGACCACCAGCCACCTGCAGTGCTACTGACTTGGTCTTGGAGTTGCAACACAGACTGATTATGACCCCATCCACTGTCACAGATGAACTGACAAGAGTAAAATAAAAAACAAAGGAAGTGAAGGAGGTGTGAACAGACTGTTTTTCTCAAAAGTAGTGACATTTCATTGATTTTGCAAAACAGAAAAAGAAGCAATTTTCCTTTGGTGCTACACTGCCTATTTCAATATAACATAAACATAATAAATGCACACACATATGTATATACACACTAATAGATAAACTATTGCAAGCGCAAGCCCAGGTAAAGCAATTACCTGTCACATGACATTTTCCACAATGTCAATAAGTAGGTGTCTACATTGTGAGGTCATCACTCCTATTCTGGCAGCAACTTTATATAACTTATTGCAACTTATTTCAATTTATTGCATTAAATAAAGCAGTGAATCTGTGGGAAAGTGAGCACGCTTAATACCTATATTGCTATTATATTCATTCATAGAAATCTGTGGGTCTCCCTTAATGGGAAGAGAGGAATCTGTTATTGCCATTATATTTTTTCCTGAGTCAATGAACCAAGAGTAGACATGTCTTAAAGGAAGTGGAAGAGGTACGATAAAAGCAAATGGTGCCAATGCTAACATTTATTCAAAGAGTTTTAAACAAATCTACAAAAACCCCCAAGATGCCACAAATTTGGGGAGGATAAGTTATCTGAGAAGTTAAAGGAATAGACTCTGGAGGTGCAATGGCTGGGACTGGATCCTGGCTCCACCTGCGTTATCTCAGGCAAGTTACTTAAACTGCTCTGTGCCTCAGCTGTCTTAGCTGTCAAATGAGGGCGCCAACAGTACATACTTCAGAGAGGTGCTGTGAGAAATAAGTGAGTTAATACAGGAAAAGCATTTAAAAGGGTACCTTTTACAAAGCACAAGCTATAGTAAATGTAAGCTATAAGCTGATTGGGGGACTATATATTTGTCAAAGACTAACATTTTTGTATGAACAAAATAGTCTTTTTTGAGAAACAAAAGTCAAAGCAGCAGAAATATATTTTAAATGACTTCTCACTTGCTTTATAGCAAATGAGATGACCGCATTTACCTTCTACAAGATGATAAAAAATTTCAAATTTTTAGTAGTGGAAACATGCATAATTTAGGCATTTCTAATGTAAATTGCTCTGTTTTACAAAGGAAGCCCCTGTTAAGTCTGAATGCAGCTAGAACATATTCTGCATCCAGACATATTCACAAAACCTTTAAAAATGTGAAACATTACTGGGACTTCCCTGGGGGCCAGCGGTTAAGACTCCACGCTCCCAATGCAGGGAGCCTGGGTTCGATCCCTGGTTGGGGAACTAGATCCCACGTGACGCAACTAAAAAAGATCCTGCATGCCACAACTAAGACCTGGCGCAGCCAAAATAAATCATAAATAAATATTTTTTTAAAAATATGAAGCAGTATCATTCAAAGATTAGAAATTAATGACTGCATTTGGAATATGCTTCATGTATACAATAAAGAAAGGTTCCTAATTTTGCAACAACGGTTTTCAGAATTTAAACCTAACCAGCAGAACTTTAATTACATGTGAATCTGGGGATTACTATCAATGTATGCCGAAGGTGCCGAGTTTTGACACTGGAAACCTGAGGATTTCTCGGAGCTGTCCACACAACGCTATCTGGTGCACAACACGGCTTGCGATACAGAAAACAACATTCATTAATGAAACCTGTTACGTGACAAAGATGCAGTCGGGAATCAAAATGAAACTCAGGGCCAGGGAGCTATGAAATTTTAGCAAAGAAAAACAGAAGAGGTTTTCTAGTAATAAATGCAATCAAGTGCCAAACAAAACGTACAGGAGGCTGGAAGAAGTATTTTGAAGTCACTAAATCAAAATGAAGTGCATATATATAGATCTCATAGTCGATTTTAATAACTAACAAGGGTAATTAGAGTGGCTAATTCTCATAGGCTAATAATTACTCTGCTGGAATATAAGGTGAATGAAAATTTTTAACACACCTCAAAAATGTTTTGCCTCATCTCTTGGCATTTGTGCTATTTTTCACCACTTCTTGATGTATTTTAGTCTATATTTTGACATGACTAAAAACTAGACTTAACCCTCTTGCTAAGTATATCTAAAAAGGAAGCCACTGCCCCTCAACCCTGCTCACTGGAAGTAAAAAAAAAAAAAAGTCCCATGCTCATAAAAGAAGCCTAACTCTATCTGCTTATTAACACATGGAATACAGCGAATTGTTGGAATACCTAATGTTGAGCTGTCCCTGCTCGTCATCCATCGCAGAAGGGGCCACAGTCAGATGGTGAATGACAGACTGTGGACTGGACTGACTGTGGCTCACAGCCAGGAAAACGTCTTCCTGAACCCAGGTGAGAAGGCCAAGCTTCAGTGGGTTTACTTCTTCATCTTCACTGTTCTCAAACTGAATTCTGTTTTAAACATCGAAGAATTTTCAAAACATGAATAAAATTTAGCATCACCGAGATTTTCCTGAATGAAGGATGAACCACTTTATATATGGTCAACTCCTAATTATTTGGAGGGACAAAACCTGAGGTAATGCCCAATACCAGAAAATCCAAAAATAATGTTTGCCTGGCTTAAGAATACAGTTTTCTAGTATTTAAAATTAAGTATCTTATACTCTGAGATCTTTAGATTTGAAGAGAACATTTCAAGAAACTGACTACACAAGAAAAACTGACAGCCCCAGGCCCTACACTAATAAACCCCAGCAGTCTTCCATTGTTACCATCTACCAGCATTCAAAGCAGGCTTCAGCAGATATTTAGGTCTCAGCTGAACGGATCCTAAGCATCTCTTATCAAAATGACTAATTCGTTTGGGAGATGACTTCTTTGCCGCTAATGCCTTCCTCCTGTAGCATTCAGACACTGGAGGAGGGCCTGTTTTTACTACTTCACGCGGGAACTCACAATGGCTCCTTCCTGTCTTTCAGCTCAAGCAGCAGATCCTCAGCACCCACTAAAGCTGAGTCACTAGTCTGATCTTCCTACTCAACCAGCTCTCCCTGGACTCAGTCTCTTCACTGCATTCAGCCCCACGCAGGAGCATTCCTGCCTCGGGTTCTCACTGACACTCTTCTGTCCACCACACTCAACATTCTCAATCCTTCTTTGGCAATCCTAAACCTATCTCTTTTTCAAGGTTCAAGGTAAGTTATTTATGCCCTTCATGAAATCTTCTCTAAATGACTTAGAGCTATCCTTCTCACAATTTTTTAAAAAATGAAACTATATTCTCAATTTCCTCATGCTTTCTAGTTTGCCTTAAATCTGTCCTCTAAACTTTCAAGTCTGTGAAATGAAATAATCCATGTACACGCTCTTTCAAAAACTACTAAGCATTATATAGACAGCTCCCAAATCATACACAGGTAGGAAATATATTCATTAAATATATTGCATATATTGGCATTTAAGAAACATTTTATTTGTTATATTCAGTTATTTGCTCATTATTCCCATTAATTTAGAAATAAATGTGCCCAGGAGACAAAGTACTGCGTTAGTTAAGAACATGGGCTTATTAAATAGAACACAATCAAATTCTGGGTTCTCACAGAAATGGACTTATAATTAATAATTTGGCTTCTGGGTCATTTTACAATGCTTATAGTGCACCCGAGGTATTCAATTATATCCAACTGTTTGTAGTACTGTTTCAATAGGAAAATGCATTCTGATTTGCAACGAGAGCCTCAAAACACAGCAACCAAAAGTTCTGCATTGTAGGATGAAACAAACTAGAGACTGCATTAGGTCAGCCGCACATTAACAATGTACATATCCTCATTTGTGTAAGCAAATGCACTCTGCTCTACCATGTGCATCTCCATCTTTCCCATGGGATTTTCCCTGTTGAAAATCCCCCCAGGGATGTTGGGGGAATGGGTTCTAAGTCAGCCTAAGACTTATGCTCCATTGCCACCCATCAGCATATATGATATTCAGATATATAGGTAACTGACTTCTCCAACCAGGCTGTAAAACCAGGACCAAGGTGTTGTACCTACTTCTTGTTCCACTGAGCAACAGGCACAGGATAAGGTAATAACAGCTGGCTGAATTTAGGACTAAATGCTGGCTGCTTCTGTGCCCAGAGGTCCAAGGCAACTAAGAACAACCTACTTGTAGCTCTTGTCCAGATGAGGTGTTCTAAGAGAAATTTTAAATCCATTTCCACCCACAGCTCCCAGTTTCACCGTAGAGTCTATGCTTGGACTATCACCTAGGGAAAAAAAAATGCAAATACTATCATAGTAAACTACAAACATTTTTCCTGATACTAAGGATATGGGGTTCTGCATTTAATGGGCTCTAGAAGGTAATCCACTTTACAAATAAAGCAATCTAGAAAATAACCACATCTCAACCTCTCTCTTAAATTAAATTTCTGCCTACCTTTCAGGCTAAGAATTCAAAACTTATTTGAAAACAAGGCTACCACTGCCATGAGCCAGTATAACCTACGATACAACCATAGAATTCACAAATTTCAGGTTCTTCAAGTATATCAGGAAAGCAACTAGAAACTGGCAGCAATGTGACTGTGGAAAGACAACTAGATTAGACGCTAAAACACCTAAGTAGAGGTCCTTGTCCTTTCTTGCTCAAGCAGACTGCAAACCCTCCGGCGTGCTGTTCCCTCATCTATAAAACAGAAAAACTCCACCTCTGACACAGCTCCTAGGAAAGCTGTGAGATCAACTGAAAATACGTGCAATGGCAATGTTAAGGACGTAATGAGATACTACGTTCTTTCTAGGGTTGAGAATTATTCCTAAATAACTAACCCTTCAAATTCAACAAAGCAAAAGGAATTGTTCTTATTAGCCAGAGTAGGATTGAACACCCCCCACAAACACAGAAAAAACCCTGCAAGTCAATTAAACATCACAGTAAGAATGATATTAATTATAAACTTCAAAATTTTTGGAAGCCCTGGAGCTAATGCAACGCCAAACTGTAATTTGCCTTCGTGTAGGAGATTTGATTCAGAACATCCTGATAACAGTTTCTGAACATACCACATTTATAAACAGAAATCTGGTTACTGGCATCTAGGACAGCGAGGTCATTGCTCTTTTTAGGGTGTGCCGAGAACATGACTTGATTTACAGGGTGTGGGAGCAGCAGTTGGTAGGTGCACATGGGAGGCGGAACCACACTCTGCCGGAAGACTGTCACCAATACCCTGTCTGCATGCGAGAGAGAAAGAGGATGAGACACATGGATGTTCAATTCGTAAAACAAGGCATCTGAACAGCACAGTACCACTAATTAATAATGGTGGTAGAAAATATACAGCGATTCTTAAAAGTAACTGTTGGTGTTTTTATCATGAATAAGCTTAAATACAGTATAGAGGAGGGAAGTAAGTGTCAGAGCTCTGTCTATATCTGGCTATTGTCACCTCCAGGCCTATAGCAGTCCATCTCGGGGCTTGGAGTTTCAGGTGCCAGGGACTAGGGCAAGCAGGCCAAAAGGTCAGAGTTCTAGCTTTAAACCTGGGCCTGCAACCAAGCCAGAATAAACCAAAATCCTTAAAGCACTTCCCTGTGCATGGATCTGGTAATAAGGCATATGTGCTTACGTCCTCTATATAGAACATATGATTGTAAAATCAGTGTTACGATCACTACATAGAACATAAATTAGTACATCAACTCACGTTACAACCTTAGAAGCAAGTTTTCCTTTAGGTCATTAGCAATAAATAAACTGTCTATTCAGGGAAGACTTTCCCTAGTTTCTTTCCCCTCACTAAACAAAAAGCCTCAACCTAATTAAAAAACACCAATCCAATCCGAGTACTAGGCAGATGTCTGTAACTTGAACTGAAGATACTGGAAAGGTATATAATTAGCAAGCAAATTATATATATAAATTAAATATATATCAAAAAATAAAGCAACATAATGGAGTGGTGTGAGGGTCAACGCAACCCTATGTCAGGGCACAAAGACAAGGCTGACACACCAACGCCAGGAGCCTACTGTTGTCTTCCTCTCCACCCAGGTCAGAAATGTCAATGTCTTCAAAGCCCAGACAAGTAAATGTGTAAAGGCCATGGTTGTAGTAGAAAAGGGAGTTGAGGGAGGCAGGGGGAGAGGAGAGACCATGGTTCTCAGGGGAGTACACGCCTCACCTAAGGGCGTTCCCATTCAATCGAAACCAAAACAAGTAAAAACAAACCAAACAACCAGAATAATCAATCAAATAAAAATCCTGCACTGTTTCAGTCAAACTACCACATCTGCAGGCTCCTGGCTCAGGCCCCCTGCGGGCCCACGGACACACTTTCCAGCTCCTTACTTCCATCAACAACAGCCACATTTGCCATGTCACTTAAATTCTCTCCTGAGCTCCGGTCAGTCGTCCAGTGCCAGTCATAGCAGAGGTAATGCCAGCCTTGACAGAGAACATGCAGCCGGTATGGGGTCACCGGGTCCCACATCAGAGACACAATCTTGCTCTTCCCACAGGTGCTGAAGGGCAGGCTTTGCTTGAGATACCAGTGATAGTTTCCAACAGTCCAGAGCTGAACTGCAGGGGAAAATGAAAAGGAGGCCATCAGAGGCAGGGGTCTGAGGACCGGACTTCGTACCACTTGCTAGAGAGGGATGAGGACACCCTTTTCTTTTTCAAATGACCCTTTCTGCTCAGCCTCTTCATTAAGATAATAATACTAACAATAATTGTTAAAGTATAGTTTGTCATGAGGATAAAATATTAAGCATCAATAAGGTCAGAAGCACATGTGTTCATTTCTACCTCTACCTTCAAACTTTATGATCATGATGATGGAAGGCTCCTACCACAGGACAGTGCTTTAGTGAGTTGTTTTTTTCCATTAAGACTTAGAAAGAAGAAAATTTGGCAATTAGATTAAAAGTATTAAAACACTCAATCCAAGAGCACTAGACTAGCATCACTATGTTGTATTACGCTTAAGACGCTTACTATTTTCTTCCAGGTGTTTTGCATGCAGTTATGTCCAAGGGAGATTAGCATGCAATTACCCTTAAAAGAACAAGACCAAAACCTGTAGTGCGCAGGAAATAGGAAGAAGTTGGTCAAAGAGTACAAACCCTTCAGTTATACGTTCCAGAGATCTAATGTATAGCATGGTGACTACAGTTAACAATACTGTATTGTATGCTTGAAAGTTGCTACGAGAGTGGATTTAAAATGTTCTCACCGGGCTTCCCTGGTGGTGCAGTGGTTAAGAATCTGCCTGCCAATGCAGGGGACATGGGTTTGAGCCCTGGTCTGGGACGATCCCACATGCCACGGAGCAACTAAGCCCGTGCGCCACAACTACTGAGCCTGCACTCTAGAGCCCATGAGCCACAACTACTGAGCCCATGTGCCACAACTACTGAGCCTGTGTGCCACAACTACTGAAGCTTGCATGGAGGCAAGTGGAGCAACTAAGCCCGTGCACCACAACTACTGAGCCTGCGCTCTAGAGCCTGTGCTCCGTGACAAGAGAAGCCACCACAATGAGAAGCCCGCGCACCGCACCGAAGAGTAGTCCCTGCTCGCCACAACTAGAGAAAGCCCGCACGCAGCAATGAAGACCCAACGCAGCCAAAAAAAAGTTATCACCATACAACAAAAATGGTAATTATGTGAAGTGAAGGATGAGTTAATCAACCTTACTGTGGCAAACATTTCACAGTACATGCATGCATCAAATCATCACATTGCAGCTCCTGAATGTACACGTTATATGTCAATTATATCTCAATAAAGCTGGAAAAAAAAGACCTAATCATGTCAAAGCCAACCTCTGTTAAACAGATGACACACATAAATGAAGATTTTAATTATATTAAGGAATTTCTTTTCTTTAAACATCTCCCTCATCACTAATTCTTAACTCAGCAATCACAGCAAATCCAACCTAGTTCTCAAACAAGGCTACTACAATACTTCAGCCTACCTCTGGGTTAAGTTAGACTACATGCTCATGCTCTGTGAGGACAGACGTTGTGAGGACAGCTTCTCCACAACAAGAGAAGCTACCGCAATGAGAAGCCCACGCAGCACAAGGAAGAGTGGCCCCCACTCGCCGCAACTAGAGACAGTCTGCGCACAGCAACGAAGACCCAACACAGCCAAAAATAAATAAATAAATAAAATTAAAAATAAATAAGTAAATAAATGTCAGTGTTTACAAAAAAAATCACCTGGAAGCTTTTTTTTTTTAATTTAATACTGATGTATAGTCCCCATTATAACACACTGAGAGCAGCTCTGAAATAAGACATTGGTAGCATTTTTTTTTCCTAAAGCTGCAGTCAGGGTTGAGAACTATTGTGTTGAATGAATAAATGAATGAATGAGCTTCTCAATAGCATTTCGGTTAAAGTTCTATTGATTAAAAAGTTTGAAAGCCACTCAGAAAATAATCAAGCAAATGAAAAGATTTATGAAAAAAATGTTCAGTGCACTGCTATTGATGACAGTGAAAAATTACAAAACTTTAAATGTCTAACAACTAAGATTTAATAAACTGTAGCATAAATGAATATACAGCAATTTAAAATGACACAGATAGATATCTGAAATGGAAAGTTTGTGACACACTGTAAAAGCAAGTTACAAAACTGCAGGTATCATACCTACATATTTAACAAAAATGAGATCATAGCTTTACTGAGATGTATACATAAAATGTGGAAGACAAGAAACTTTAAATAGTGATTATTCCTGAGTGACAGAATTACAGAAAAACTCTTCTTCTTCGCATCTTTATTTTCTAATGCTTTCACATATTACATATACACTGAAAAATACATATTCACAATTTGATTTGCAATTTAAAAGCTACAGAAGATTCTTACTTATATCTAATCTCATTTCTCTTTCACTTCCACAGTATTCCTTTGGCTAGCATTTTTATTTGCTACAGCGGTACCATCCATGAAGAGAAAGCACTGATGACTTGTGATAATTTACATGTCAACTTGGCTAGGCTATGGTGTCTAGTTGTTTGATCAAACACTAGTCTAGACGTTGCTGGGAAGGTATTCTGCGGATGTGATTAACCTTTATAATCAGCTGACTTTAAGTACAGCAGACTATCCTCCATAATGTGGATAAATCTCAACCAAAGAGTTCATAGAGCCTAAGAGCAAAAACTAAGGCCTCCCATGGAAAACGGAATTTTGCCTCAAGACTGTAACAGAGAATCTTGTCCGAGTTTCCAGACTGTGGGCCTGTCCCACAGATTTTGGACTCAAGACTGCAACATCAACTCTTCACTGAATTTCCAACCAGCCAGCTTACCCTGATTCTATTTCTCTAGAGACCCTGCCTGATACATAACTGAAATCCATCCCATCAAAAGCTAACCACTCCCTCATCTCTACCTACCCCCCTCAGTTATCTCTGATTCCATTACAAGACTAAGTGAAAAGGATAAAGGAAACTCCATGGCCTACTACTTTCAATTACATTTTATGGGGCAGAAGGTTGAGGTACTAGAGCTGTCTTACCATAGGTTTTCAGAGTGGAATTTTCTTCCCTCTGAAGGTCTTCCAGCCAAACTGCAAGCACAGTGGAATCTGCATTCCAGAGAAGGTCATTAACCTAGTAGGGAAAAAAGACCTGTCACTGGCCTTTATGTAGTTACCTCAAAATCTTTATGATAGCTGAATTCCCTGCTCTCACAAGTCAAATAATCCCACACTTGAGTTGATCCTTAGCTGTAAATTACTAACCTATTGAGTTTTTAAACAAATCTGTCGTCATATGTAAAGGACTTCAAAAAAATGCATTATGTTTAAATACTTAACCCAATGAAGGTGACATTTTTAGACAATCAAGAATATTTGAATATGGACTAGATATTAGATAATATTAAGGAGTTATTACTAATTTTGTAAGGTATCATAATGGAATTGTGGTTATATTAAGAAAAATGTTCTCAATTGTTAGAGAAATGAATATTGAAAATATGATTTTTAAAATTAAAACCCTAGGAAATTTTTACAAAGTGTGTGTGTAGGGGGCGGGGCAGAGAGTGAAGAATAGATGAAAATAATTTTGCAAAATGCTGGTACATATCTGTTGAAAGTAAGTAATAGGTACATGGGAGTTCATTAAACTCTTCTCTCAACTTTTAATATATTTAAATTTTTACATAATTAAAAATTACCATGATTTGTTTTCGCTCCAGTGAAGATCCAAATGGTACACAACCTCCTTAAGGTTTACATGTTAAAAATGGCAAGTGTCTTTATCACTGGAAGAATTATGCTTTTGTCAAAATAAACAATAAAAACTGGCATTTATATTTCCTTTCTGTGTTTTATCTAGGGTGCGGAAGGAATGTTATTGCTCCTCTACAAAATCTCCTTAGGAAAAACAATTTGGTTTATAAAAAAAAAAATTCAGTCATAGGAAGCCACTATTTTTATTACTGTCTACTCTGGGGCTTCTATTTACATACCCATACCAAATACAAATCTTCTTCTCTATAGTTGTGCAAAGTCCTCTAAATGTGATGGTAAAACAACTCAGGCACCTACCTTAACCTCATCTTTAAAGAAAGGAAGTGTAAAATGTCCATGGAGAAGTCCATTTTTCTCAAAAAACACAACATCCTGCTGATTGGGTTTATCTTGCGTAGATGCGATCAAACTGCCTGAGGGCCTTAAAGCAAACCCAGAGTGTTAGAGCATCCAAAAGCTCATCCAGCTAGCTAAGAACAAGATGAAATTCAGAGAAACACTTTTTTCAGCAAACACAAAAAGCCTCCATCCAAGGAAGTTTTAAATCCCATGTTTCCTGGCAAGCAGTCACCCTAGTGTGGGACTGTATCTGCCCAGGGGACAGAGTGCCTTTTCCTGATTTGCACAAGGGCTCTATTTGCCCACAAAGACTCACAGATTGAGACTGCACTTGGGTGACTTTCTAAAAGAACCAATAAATTATTTAAACCATTCCCAGTATAATGTCCTATAAAACCATAAACTATTTCTCTTTCAATTATATGACTTCAGCAATATTACATGCTCAGGTAGGTATTTTTAAAGACTTCTAAATCTACTGAAAACGCCTTGATCGCCCCACCTTGTCTGTATTTGTCTCTAGAGTTTTAATTCAAATACATTTCTCTCTTTTCTCTGTCGTCCAACTGCCACTCAAATACTGGTGGGAAACATGTCTAAAACCTAGAGACCTAGGTTTTGCCTATAACAGATGCTGCTGAGGCAGAAAATATTTCTTCTATCTATAATCAGGACAGCCATATATCATAAGCAGGTTGTGACCTGCACAAGGGTACTAGGCCAACAGGTGAATTGGGCCCAAATCCAGCCCGCGTGTTCCTCAGCAAACAGGTCCCCTTAGTGTGGGAGTTTGTGCAGAGAAAGGAAGAGCTTTTCCTAGTTTTCACCAAAGCTCTGCTGCCCCACAGAAATTCACAGACTGCAACTTCCCTTCGAAGCACCACTTTCTGTTTTACACAGTGGCTTCATGTAGGCCCCGCCTATAACCTACAAAATGTGTGGGCCTTGGAATGATGAGGTCTGCGAAGCTCAGAATCTACTATTCAAACCACATTCAGACTTCAGGGAACTAAAAAAGAAAGATACAGGCTTACAGTCAAATGAGAAAAAGTAATTATCTCTTTGTGTTTTATAAACACCTACATTCAGTAGGTACCACCACTCCCACCATAGTACCAAGAAATCTCTGGCAAGAAGTTAAGAGGTTTCTTCTCCCACTCACTTCCAAGCCAGAGCAGGTCCCAGTCCTGCCACAGGCTCACTGGTTGACTGTAAAGCAAACTCCCGGCTCCACACTCTGACCTTTCGAGCCCCTGTGTAGTAGAGAGAGGGAGAAAAACAACAATGGCAAAATTTAAAGCATTGTGATAAATGTTGTCAAGTCTGAACTTCCAAACACCTTCCTTATTAATAAAAACTGTCATGGTTTCACAAAGCCAATTAGATGAATCTTGTTAAAAATTCGTATCCAGGGCTTCCCTGGTGGCATAGTAGTTAAGAATCCGTCTGCGGGGCTTCCCTGGTGGCGCAGTGGTTGAGAGTCCGCCTGCCGATGCAGGGGACACGGGTTCGTGCCCCGGTCCGGAGGATCCCACATGCCACGGAGCGGCTGGGCCCGTGAGCCATGGCTGCTGAGCCTGCACATCCGGAGCCTGTGCTCCGCAACGGGACAGGCCACAACAGTGAGAGGCCCATGTACCGCAAAAAGAAAAAAAAAAAGAATCCGTCTGCCAATGCAGGGTTCGAGCCCTGGTCCGGGAAGATCCCACATACTGCGGAGCAACTAAGCCCATGAGCCACAACTACTGAGCCTGCGCTCTAGAGCCCGCGAGCCACAACTACTGAGCCCATGCGCCACAACTACTGAAGCCCGCGCACCTAGAGCCCGTGCTCCACAACAAGAGAAGCCACTGCAATGAGAAGCATGTGCACTGCAATGAAGAGCAGCCCCCAGTCGCTGCAACTAGAGAGAGCCCGCGCGCAGCAACAAAAGACCAAACACAGCCAAAAATAAATAAATAAAATTAACTTATAAATAATAAATTTAAAAAATTTTTTAAATGCTTTAAAAAAAATTCATATCAAACTGGTAGGAGGCTGGGCCAAATGGCCTCAAAGAACTCTTCTGATTCTTAGCTCTATATTCATTTAACACCTGAAGCAGCACATTGTTACCTCATGGGTGTAATGAAAGAAAACCCGCAAAGCAAAAGTAAGAAAAATTTATTTCCATACCTGTCTCTGGGCAAACAACACTCACAGCAAAAAACTGTCCATCACCATGCCAGGTAACTTGTGGTCTATGGTCATCCCAGGGCAAAGCAGACTCGTGCTAAAGAGAGGAAAAAACACCAATGTTACTGGGGGCCTTAAATGGCCCAGAACCAAACAAGCCTCAGGCTATTAAAGTTAAATCTTTTATATAAGGTTTAAGCTATCTAGAAATCGAGTTTCACAGAATCCTCAGGAACCCTTCCAGAAGGGCCCTTAGACCCAAAAATCAAGAGAAAAGAACTTAAAACCAAACAAAACAAAATCTTTCTCTGGACATTAAAAAGTGGCCTCCAAGCATAGCAACAGGGAAAAAGAGCTACATATCTAGATGCTAAAAATAACAAGCTGAGGAATCTATCAGGTAACTATATAAGAAAATTAATGTTTGTCTAAATTTAAGAGGGTAGAGTTTTATTCACTGAGTAAACTTCACAATGCTGCACAGAAGAGTTAAGAAGATGAGAGGAATGTGGGCAGGGAAGAGCCAGAGGAGATAAAGCCAGCAGCAGTGATGAAAACATGGACAAGCTCCGCATTCTGCAGCACCGAAAGAAGAAAGGTTTCCAGTGCCACTTGCATCTCAGTCCCGAATGCCTTGAAGACAGAAGCCAATTCTGTGGGGTTGGGGACAAATGACCACCTGAGCATCCATCATCACATTCCAGTGACAGGCTAAGTCAGAATGGTGCTAGTGCCACAAACTGCACAGTAGGGAATACACAGCAGCCTAACAAGATTTATTCTCAATGAAACTGCCCTGTGGTATACACAAACTTCCTCTAGTGAAGGGTTAGGAGACAATATGAGTTACACGGAATGTAGCCAGAAATTAATTAAGGATGGAAAATGTAACGGCAGGCAGTGTATGATTTCATCTATCCTAGAAGGTCAGCACAGGGAAATCTCCACATATAATACAGACAAAGTGCTTCCATTCGCTCAGGCCCACATCTGGGGATTATCCTCAATTCCTCTCTCTCTCTCTTACCCTACATCTGATCTATTATCAATAAATCCTGTAGCTCTATCCTTCAAAATGTATCCAGAAAGAAGGAAAACATAGAGTTTCATCCAGGAAGAGAAATCAGGAAAAAAAAGACTAATATATACATATGTAGGAAAAGTATAAGAACATGCACGTGAATTATCAACAGTGAACGCAGGGCAGCAGCTCCTTCTGGGGAGGAAGGGGGAGGGTATCAGGAAGGGATACAGAGTGCTTCATTTCTGTCTGTGGTGAGTTATTTTTTTAAATGAATATTGGTGATACTTATTCTCTATGTGAAAAAAAAATAACAACTTGGCAATAAAAAAGAAAAAAGGATCTTTCTAGGATGACTTATTCCCTAAGGTCTCCAAACAGCTTGTTTTACTAGAGCAGAAGAGATCTGTCCATTACCGCCCTCTACCTGTGAAACAGAGCAGGACCCGATGGTCCCCCCAACCCCATGTCCTCAGCCTGCCTTTTGTCTGCAGAAAAACTTTAGCCAAACAGTAAGTTTAATCAGAGAAGTGAGAAAATGCAGAAACAAAGGAAAACAGCCCAACATGACTAAATAATAATAGTTTAGGCATTAAGCACAGTCAAGGACCTTTTTAGTTCCTCCTCAAGGGCTACAGATAATATTCTGAGCCATATCCTGTGAGCTGTCTTATAGATACTGAAACCGCCACCAGGTGGAAGAAATTAACTACATGATGACCAGACTGTGGCCATGACATCAGCTGCCACAAATCCAAGAACTGGCCTCCAAGAAATGGGAACCGACCCTGGAAAACTAACTGTACTTAATAATCAAGATGATGCTGGTCAGACCACCGCATGACCAATTTCAAGATGACTGTCAGAGCTGCCTGTACTGTTTCTGCATGTAGCGCCCCCTCGGCCTTTAAAGCTCTTGCCCACTGGTTGTCAGGGAGGGGAGTCGGCCTTTGGACAAAAATCACCCCACCCCCCAGTTGCTGGCATCCAGCGGAATAAAGCAAACTTTCCACCAACCTTGCCTCTTTATTGGCTTGTAGAGCGGCGAGCAGCCAGACCCCACTTTTGGTAACGCCTGGACACCTAAGAGCTCCTGGTGGGTAGCAGAACTTCTATTTGTTCGAAAGAAGGTTCTTTATCCATCAGACCAACCTTACCATTTGCATCTGAAAGGCGGCTTGCCTGCCTTCTGATCCATGGAACTGCGTCTCCTTCCTGCCCCAGCCAACAGTGATGAACTTGCCTAGAGAACAAGTGAGTGAGAATATGCAAGACAACCAATAAGCTAAATAAAATAAAAGCAGTTTCATGGCTATTCTTCATGAAGTTGGGTCCTCTGAGACCTCTCAATAGATTGACCAGCAGTCAATATTTTAAAAACCTACGTTCCATATTATATACTGAAGGGATTCTGAAGACTCTGAAATGCCCTTATTTTGGAAAGAGCATTACTGCCATTGTATATAAATTCCCTTGATGACAGTCAGCAATCCATCCCCACTTTACAAGGAGAATGAAACATGAAGAATCTATGCAATATGTCCACAGATAACAAAACATAAAACTCAAGAAGACAAGAGCTGGGAATAAAATTCCAATCGTAAGTTCAATCCACTAAATGTATCCAACCTCCCTGCTAGTGTTGGAGACCATGATTATGGAATTCAAGCCCTCACAGAGACTGACACACCCTAGTGACAGAGGCCAAAATTAGAACACAGGGCTTCTGCCTTCCAGGCTGGGCTTCTTTCTAAATTATAATGCTGATCTTACATAAAATATAGAGTCAGTTGCTGAAATAATGCAGCCTTCTGTTCCTGAAGGTAGGACCTGGCATCCACCTATAAGAGGTACTTACAGAGATGCCCCTGAAAGCATCGGCCAGCTCCAGGACCCAATATCTCCCTCCTACAACTGATGCTGATTCTGACGAAGCAGAGCTGTTTATAATTTCTATAAATTATGGGTCAGCATGACCGTTTCCTGTCTGCTCTGCTGGGCACACCCAAGTATTGCAGTATCCCAAAGCATACCTTGCTGCTGTATACAAATAGTAGTACCTATCCTGCTGCACACCCCTGCGCTTCTATCCGAAAGTTTCCACAGAGAGATAAAGGGTCAAGGAGTGAAGCAAGACAACTTTTCCAGTGGGATCAGATGATAAGTGGTGGAGTTACAGCAGGAATCAGCAAACTACAGCCTGCATTTGCTTTTACAAATAAACTTGTATTGGAACACAGCCATACCCATTTCTTTGTGTACCATCTTAAGTGCTTTCACACTACATCAGCAGAGTTGAGTAGCTGCAACACAGACCATATGGCCTGAAAGCGGAAAACAATTACTATCCAGTTCTTTACAGAACAAGTTTGTCGACACCTGGGTTAGAAGAAAAATATCTATTCACCGCTCCACAGAGTGACTTTTTGTACTGACAAATACATTTCTAAGACCTAAGACCCTGACTTGGACTCCCTCTCCTTTGCTTTACTCTATTAGATTTCTTATGAAAAAGTCGGTGGGATGAGCCAGGCCCAGAGCACTTTCCCATGCAGAGATGTGTTGGTTACTACCTCTATGACTATCCTCAAAGCTGGATGCCCCAGAGTCCCACCCCGGGCCCTAGATCCAGCACCATACCCGCTCCCTGAGCAAGCACATCTAATCCCAAGATTGTAAAGAGTCCCCACATGCCAATGACTCCCAGTCCACGGCTCTGGCCTCTCCTGAGCTTCAGCCCCTTCTACTCACCTGCTTTACTTGGTGATCCCATATGGCCCTTAAACAAATCCAGGAAGGAACTCATCACCCACCCCTTACAGACCAGCACTTCCCCACCTTCCCTCTCAGATACTGACATCTTTATTTCCACCACCTGAGCTTCTGGCTAGAGTCCTACTAAACTTTCTTCTTCACCTTACATACCCAAAGCCTATTTATTTCACTTTCTAAACTGGTATTTCTCAAACTAGCTAGGGCAGGAGGGGAACCATCATGCACACATATTCCAAAAAAGTTTCTCATAATTCCAAAAAATGTACTCCTATCCTCATTGAGAATCAAAATTTTCCTGCATTTTTCCCTTTTCTAGTCCCACACCCACCTTCTTTATCTCTCATGTGGATTCCTGTAGCAACCTCCTGCCAGATCACCCTGTCTCGTCTCTTCCCTCTCCACCAATCAATCTTGCATCATCAGAACCTTTAATGACTGATCTCCTGTAACTTCATGTCCAAACTCCCTATCAAACTTAATCAAAATCCCTCCCCTTTATTTCATTCCACATCCATGTCCTGTCACTAGGCAATGCTGAAGTACTCACAGTTGCCTGAATAAGCCATGCTGTGTCAAAGGCCTCCATGAAACATCCCTGCCTTGGAATGAACTAATTCACTTGCCTGGACCACTCCCCCACCCTCAACCCTCATCTACCCAACACCAAGTCAGCCAAAACTCAGCTCAAGTCGGGCTCCTCTGGGAAGCCTTCTGTCCCCATTACTCCCTTTCTCTCCTTATGCTACCCTAATACCTGCACATCCTGTTATTACTGACTCCTTAAGGGAAAAGATGAATTAACCACAGCACCAAACACACTGCTGGGTTCACACTACCTACTCAAACATTATTTCTGAACAAATTATTTTTGAACGAATAAATAAGTAGCACTTTTCTAAATGATTTCTTAGTAGAATGCGAAGTCATGAAGTTAGACCCCAGCGAAAGTTAAAATACCATCTCCCCCATCCTTCTCCTCAATCAGGCCAGCTACCTGGTGCCCTGAAGTTGGCCAGAGCTTCTTACACTCAATAAGCATCTCCACTCTTCTCCTCTTCAATACTTCCACAGCCTAATGCCCATATCACCTCAGCTAGATCTTAGCACGAAAACAATATGATGGGTCCCATGAAAATTCAGGTCTAATAAGTAGGAACAAAAATCAGCTCTCTATCCTGTCTCTCTTGTCTTCTCCCCAAAATTGTACCTCAGAAATGCTTTCCTTATTCTAGCTAGTACAGTCCTTTTCATTAAACCCCCTGACTAAGCCTGTCCTGGGGTTTGGGCAACAACTACCCAGGTGATTCTAAGCACAGATTCCTATTCCCCAAATTACTGACAAAGCCAGCTCTCAGACTTGGAGAGGCACCAGAGGTATGCCTTTTAAAATCTGGAATGAACTAAAAGAATTGGTCTATCTGTCAGTGAATTAAGTTGGGGTTTAAGCTTCATAGTTCTTTGGGCTTATTATGATGCGGCTATCAGTGTGCAAGACAAGTCACAAAATGGTTCAAACAAAGCTATACTTACTTTCACCAAAATCATCCTGGTGGATTTGCTGTTCCATGATTGGTTCAAACTCTTTTGTCATCATAATTAGGGTCTGTTGACCTTGGAGGAGCACAAACAAGAATATTTTGTTTTCATTTAGCATATCTGCCATTCTGTAAGTATCTACAGCATTGGAAGCTACTGAGCTGGAGTGGAGGAGTTTATAGTCAAAACAGAGAAGACAGAATTTATTCAAAATGTTCTGACTCTCAATTTTTTTTTTTTTTTTTTTTTTTTTTTTTGTGTTTCGGGGGCCTTTTTCCTTTTTGGGGCTCCGTGTCGGGGCGCGCGGGCTCAGCGGCCATGGCTCACGGGCCCAGCCGCTC